CTGTTTTAAAATCAATAATAAAATGCACCACTTCACACAAACCGCAACCAAACACAACAATGTTTACATTGAAAGCTTTCAAACAAAAATTAATAATTGAATCTGATTCCGTTGACCTTTCTCCCCTCGTCAATCTCTATGGACCATTAAATATCGTTCAGTAAATCACAATTATTGTCAAGCGTATCTTGTATTTGTACTTTTTATTCATCGACACATAACTACCACGCAGTCTTCCGTTGGGGTAGGCAGAGGCTATGGACGTCTAAGCTTGTTTAGGTTTCTCCGCTCATATCAGTCTATTCAACCGCCTTCATTTAGGCTTCGTACTTTTGACCTAACTTGTTTTTAAGGACAGCCTTAATATAATACGTGCTAGAAAATCACACCAATTGCCTGGTCTCAAACTAGTTAATTCCCAATACTGTGAGTACCAGAGCAACGGAATTCACTCTGAGGCACTTCCCAGAACACCCAGACCAGAGCCAATTTAGTTTGAAAAAAGTTTGTTTCCCAAATTTGTGCTACCGGAAATCGAATCCAGGACCTACGCATCCAGCGCCCACAATGTAAGCCGTTAGGCCACCAAGGTCGTCAATAAAAGGTCGACCTTTCTCCTCGTTCATTATCGCTTTTATTGAAATAATGAATGACTAAAGTTCGATCATAATTTCTGTCACTAATATTTAAATAATAGTGACATAAATTTTTTACAGTGAATGTTGCCGAAGCCTTGGCTGTTGTTCAAGCATTCAGAACGGAAATTTCAGTATCAAACTTAATGTACTAAATTGTAATCTAAACAGATTGGCTGTTGTTAAAAGTATGTCCTATACGAAAATTAAATAAAACAAGAAGTATACCAAATGAAAAATAGACAAAAAGAACATTCCACAAAACGATATTTGTAGGAAATGCATGTTCTACATAATTATAACGTTTTATGGAAAAAACAGACCTCAAAATTTTGTGGAATTACATCTATTTAACAAGTTTTATTGAAATTAGTTCACGAAAAGTTGGTGAAACCGAATAAACCGGATTCATGCTTTAATTTGCCACCCTTGAGGCGGAATGTTTTCTTCAAATTTAAATGGGACCAATGCTAAGGTAATCTCTTTCCAACAAAAAAATCATCAAAATCGCTTCACAAATTATCGCGTAGCATACACACAAAATAAGACAGTCGAATTCAGAACCTCCTCCTTTTTTAAAGTCGGGAAAAAATATAAACACGTTTGACATTATTTTGTCTGAACGCATGGCCAATGAGTGAATGGTCTATTGGGTTACTCTCATTCATTGATTTGATTCAATAAAGGATTTGATTTACGGTGATAATTTGACGGTTGATTTGATTATGATTAATTGACTACGGCTCTAGTCGATGTGGCCTTTTTGGTAGAAGTCGCCTCACTAATTGCTGAATCTCATATTTTTGTTATTACTAAATAGGAAGTACATTCTTATTCGATTTCCAAAAGCGAAAGTTCTTTTGTCTATGATATCAAGTGTTGGGACGAACAAGTCGTGTGCCTTGTGCAGCGGGTGAAAACCCAATCAACCCGGGTTTTAACCCATTTCTGCCCAAAATCGTGGGCGGAAACGACTTTGGTATAATTTCCAACTCCACACAATACCTACATACATTGCAATCCTGTGAATTCTCATTACTAAGACACATACATTCCACTGGGGCTCAACACAGAGACCATAAATCTTCACTCCCTACGCTCCTGACAAACTTCTACCACTTTCTAGACTCACATCAGTATCTATATACATCCCTGTTTATTCTTGATATTTTTAACTTGTCCTTTTTTAAGGACATCCCTAATCTTATCGTTGAGGTCTTCTACCCACGTTTCTCTAATTTACTTACTACATGACGAGACTATTTCTATCTCAGTTACTACGATAATCTTACACACCACAACGCCTTACTATGTAGTGTTGCTTTTGTACATAGCGTTCCTTTATGTTTACAACTTTCGAGACGTTATTTTAAAGTGCATTTTCGTTTGACAAATGATGTTTCGGATCCGCCAATTCTCTGCTTTGTCTTCGAAAAGATACGAATTATGTTCTTAAATGGAGCTAATTACTGTGTAATAAATGTCTTGTTAACGTGGCACATGGTAAAAATACTTATTACGAAGACATAAAGAACACAAAGGAATGCTGCTTAATTGTAATCATCACCCCTAACTGACTATACAAAAATGACCTCTAATGTTTTGAAAATAAAGCTCTACTGACTTCAAACATGCACATCCGTTTGCCACACATGTTTGTGCGTTATCCTTTTTTCTAAAGGCGTTCTAGTATCAGGGCTCACTTTTCATCGGTTTTAAGCTTTATGAAATCAGGTACCAGTTCATGGTGACACATTTGGGAGACAGATGTGGGGCTCTTTTCAAGTTTGTCATCGCCTTGATTATACATATTAACCAGACTTAGTTGAATTTTAGCTATTTATGTTTATTTGTGTATAATTTGACCAATCTGTCTCTGTAAGAAAGCGTAATAAATAAGAAAGAGAAATTTCTTTGTGGTTCCAGACTGCAACTTTTTACAAATGCAAGTACTCTCATTTGTGGAAAGCTGGAGCCTAAACTAAATCAGAAGATTTGTATTTTAGCATAGTAGTAATTTTATATTTTGACCTGTGCCGAGAACCGATTCCAAAACCTCAAGATGCGAATGTTTACTAAGGTTTTACGGCACTATGTTGCTATAAACAAAATTTAATTTCTCAGACAGAAAATAACGTAATTTCCGTTGTCAGTTGTTTGCTTTTTTGTTTTGAGTGGGTAGTCGTCTCTTTTTTATGTTAAGATTCTCAAATGTCAAATGGCTTCATAATTTGTCTCTAGATGAGGTTGATTTGTATCTATAGTGTAGGAAAACAAAAATTAGAAATTGTTTCTTTGTCATAATCATAATGCTCCTATTCCTTATTACCTAGAAATTGTTTTTACATTGTTGTGGGATTGCCTTTGCATTTGAATTTTGGTTTGTATTACTTTGTTTTGATGATTTTTTATTGACCCTTAAGACGTAGGAGTAAAGGTTTGTGATAGATTTTAAGATTCTTGTTTTTCTAAGGATTAGAAATATTTGAGATATGCTACTGGAGAGGTGTTAAGAAAGGTGAAGGCATAGAGAAGCTTATTAAAGACAATAAGAAGTCCTATATGTCACGACAGTTTTTTAAGAAGTATTATAGAAGGAAAGACAGGCAAGGGAAGACACTCTAATTACGGCTAACTCAGTCTAATTTACATTCGAAAAAATAGTTTTTGTTTCCTATCTGCAGTGTGATATATCGTTACTGAATATCACCTGGAACCTTTGATAGAATAATAATGTTTTTCTCTTATAGATGGAACAATACAATCTCCCAATTACATTTAAAGCTAGTTAAGTGATTAATATTTAATAGCTTTTCGCGATACTTTAAAATAAGTGAATCGATACAATGAGAGACAGGCTTATGAATAAGCTAGTGATAAAGAGGGTGATCACGTGTATACTGACTGTTGCTAATATGTGATACAGACATGGTGATGTTTAGGAGATTCGTGGTAAGCTTGGTTTTTATTCACTCCTATTAGTTTTTCTTTTTTTTCTTTATTTGGTTCACGGAACCGAATGCTTACAAAATAATTGACATAAAAATGTACAATAGTTATTAATTATGCAAGGCTGCGAAGTTGTTTATTGAAACCTGAGCAAGCTGATCGTAGCGAGGGTTTCAAGACACGAGACGCAAAACAACTTTGCTAACGAGGTAGATGAAAGAAAAAACAGTTGAGCCATAACAAATCAGTTCTATTCATTCGTGCATCAAAAATTAGTCATCGATTTCAATTTAATGTCAACAATAATAAGACTAAAATATACCAACGGATTTATATTACATAAATAATGTACGACAAATCGCGTAGTTGAACGTGTCATTATGTTTTTTTTCACCGAAAGAAAAAGTTAGGTGCGCCACAGTCCATCGTCGACCTCAAATTTCAAAAACCTTTTCCACGCTCGCTAGCTTGAAAAAAACGCTTTTGCGCGCAGATTCCTAATGAGGAAAGCCTTTCTAGTTTCTAGTGAGATGAAAAAGTCATTTTAACATGTCGGAGCATGTACGTGCTTCTCGCTGTGAACACAGCATGCTAAACATTTAATTAATGGTCTCAAGAAATTTAAATTAAATTTTTAAAAGGAAATGGTATAATAAACAAAAAAATATAAGTAAACTTATAAAAAACTGTTGGTAGGTACTATAAAAATTTAACATAAGAGTAAAAATAATTTCCTAAAAGAAGAGACTGGGGCTAGGACGACAGGCCGCGACTTGTGTGAGAGCGACATACAGCGCGAGATCTCTATGTGAGAATAGCACTATCTCGCGCTCGTGTGCTAGCCCTACTGGGGAGTAAGTTTAAGTACATCTAAACCCTGACAAACACGATTATATGATGAACACATATGATATAAACATGAATGTTGACCATAATTAGTACATACACTAGTAATGATGGTGTATGATCTGATGCTCAGACACAACCACAAAAGCCTTATTCTGACAAATAAAATGAAAAGTATATTTATGTGCTATTTTCACAAAACTATGATTATATTGATTGACACGTTATTGTTTTAAGTCATAAACACATGCAATGCAGGATTCGATGGTTCGAATTTTTTCCTCTCAATTTTTTTTTTAATGTGGCAGACAACCTCACCAATTGCCTGGTCTCAAACTGAGAAATTCCTGTGAGTACTAGAGTAACGGAATTGACTCTGGGACACGTCCCAGAACACCTAGACCAGAACCAATTTACAAAAGTTCATTGCCCACACTGTAAACCGTTGGACCACCTAGGTCGATAAGTAATTGAGAAGCAATTAATGTACAGTTTAATAAATACAAGGGAAGCGTTCTTAATCAAGCTATCACTGTTACGAAACTATACAATCTAATTTTTTGTCGGCAGTTGTCGAGTCTTCGTGACGAACTGAGCAGCGGGGAAGCGGACAAATGGAAGCAAAGAAGGAACTTCAGCTTCGACCAGAATAGGCAGTTGGAGGAGGTCACCAAGGAGAGGTAAGTACATAATTTTTGGATCCATATCACATACGCGATGTTGGGATGATCGTCGCGATATTAAATAATGTAGTCAGACGTGACCATTGTGACCTTTAAATGAACCGAGACGTTAGTTTGTTTGAAAAAAACGTAATATACTGGAATTAGATCCGATAAAATACTATCGTTTCCAACTTGTAACAATCACGAAAAATAATTGCGTGCACTTCAAATAGTCTATTAGGACTTAAAGTTGATAAACACTTAGAGTTTCTGGAAAACTGGATGAAAATTAATTTCGTCTTGTATCATGTTAATAGCGACCATATTTGTTGTCTTCCATTTTATATTATGCCAATGAACAGTGGCACGTCATTTCAATAAACATTTGTAAATTTCAAATTACTTAGCTTTTTATTAAATAGGCTACAATGGTCCTTCGAGCCGGATCTGACCTAGCGAATTATATATATCACAATGAATAACTAAAAAGATAATTCAATGTATATTTTTTCATTATTACCAATTTCACTGGTAATTCACAAAATGGACAATTAGATAATTTAGACGCTATTCTCAAAGCCATATGACTTTATTACTTTCAGGGACGGTCTGAAGCGTGTGGCGGTAACTCTGCAGCGCGTGGTTAGCCAGCTGGTGGCATACTGCGCTTGCGCAGAGGACGAACTCAACCGTACCGTGCTCGCGCAGTTGCTCACACGCCTGCACGCTGACGAGTGAGTATACATGTTTATTGTAGGCTAGTGCATAATAGCCGGCATGTAGCGACCTTACACATCACGTATGATACGCCTGTTAAATATTACAACCACGATGAGTTACGTGTAGTAGCAATGGCGTTCCTTGTAAAAGGGTTCGTACTGCTACCATACTTTTTCTGCCGCCAAGTGGTAATGTGAGAGTTCCTGCGTTCCGGTTTTGAAGAGTAAACCTGTTGTTGAAATTACAGGCATTTGGGAACATTTGTCAACTTCTAAGGGTACGGGCGCAGTGACAATGCCCGTCAGATCTTTACGACTTAACGTTCTGGCATGCCAACTGTTATGGGTAGGCGTGTCGCTTACCACCAGGCCCACGATTTGCTCGTCCTGTCACTTGGTGTCATGAAGCTGCGTCTCTACAACTGTCACTTCTTCTTCCAGTAATGTTCGTCACTTGGAGACGTTCTCCTATGTCCCGGTAGGCTGAGATTGATGCAGACGGCCAGGCAAAGA